CAGGGCATAGAGCTGACAGAGGAGGAGGAGAGAGAGAGGGGGAGAGCAGGGCATAGAGCTGACAGAGGAGGAGAGAGAGAGAGGGGGAGAGCAGGGCATAGAGCTGACAGAGGAGGAGGAGGAGAGAGAGGGGGAGAGCAGGGCATAGAGCTGACAGAGGAGGAGAGAGAGGGGGAGAGCAGGGCATAGAGCTGACCGAGGAGGAGAGAGAGGGGGAGAGCAGGGCATAGAGCTGACAGAGGAGGAGAGAGAGGGGGAGAGCAGGGCATAGAGCTGACAGAGGAGGAGGAGAGAGGGGGGGAGCAGGGCATAGAGCTGACCTTTCCGAGCCCATCCCAGGGCGCTCGGAGTAAAAACAGAGCAGCTCGGGCTCACGACACGGCTAAAGGTCGAGCTCCAGACTCTGGGGATGAATTTCTCGCAGGAGGAGAAGTGTCGCTTTGTGTTTGAACTTCTGGCCGAGCAGGAGAGAGAAACGGCTCCGGTCCGAGCTCTCAGGTCCCCGGGCACAGAGCCAGATCAGACCTGTGCTCCTGTGCTCACGGTTACAGAGAACAAAGCCGTGGTCAGAGGAATGTGTCTCCCGCACACTCCCTTTAATCATTCAATCATTACTCAGAGTCTGACCAGCTCTAAAGAAATGCTCTCTCCTTTGTATCCAACAGTTTCTCTCAGTGTTAGTGAAACTCAACAGCCGTCAGTCAAAGCAAGGATGTGCACACTTTAAAGATGAGGAAACTAACTTTGGAAACACTAAAAATGATCAAAAATGTGTCTGTCGCTCACAAAAAGGTTTGGTTCCTTCAACAGTTAAAGTCTGCGTGTTTCACTGGCCTCTTTCACACAGAAAAGTGAAAAAAGGCAGCACGGTGGCTGAGTGGTTAGCACTCTCGCCTCTCAGCAAGAAGATCATGGGTTCGAATCCCGGTCGGAACGGGGTCTTTCTGAGTGGGGTTTGTATGTTCTCCCCGTGCCTGCGTAGGTTTCCTCTTCGTACTCCGGTTTCCCCTACCACTAAAAACATGCACACCAGGTAAAATCCTCCAGCTCTGGTCCTGACCAAGCCGAGCATCAACATCTGGAGATGGGTTCCCGGGCGCTGTTACTACGGCGACCACTGCTCTGACGTAAGCCTTAGGGCATCAGGATGGGTCAAATGCAGAGAAAATATACATATACAAGAGAGGATCGATAATGATAGAAAAATTGTGAAAAACAAGAGGTGGGACTTCTGGAAAATCTCCCTGAACCTTTAACATTGTAATAACTGATAAATAATGAATAGATAATAATGTTTTTTAACAGTACACCCTTATCAACTCCTGATTTACATTTCACAATATTCCAAATTGAATTGTGAATATGTCGATGTGGTGGTTTTATTGTGGAATGAACTTAAAAAGCCCCAGAGTTGTAAAAAACATCAGTTCCACTTTCCTCCCCGTTAGGACCAGGATCATTCCACTTCACGGCTGCTAAACGGATCTCATTTGTCAGAGCAGGGAGGGCTTTCTCAGACGCTCTCGTGCCTTTTGTCGTAAACAGAACAGAACTATACCGACCCAGGATTCAGAGAGTAGCTCCTCGTGATAGCGTGATGTGGTCCAGTCTAGTCCAGTCCGGCTTTGCTTCCGCTGTAGGGAGTGTAAAGACAGAATCACGATAAAGAAGTGTGTGTTGGCAGTTTTATGTCCTTGGTCCAGTTCAGTTATCTCTCTTTCTTTTGGAAAAGCTTCTACGGTCCAAAACCCTTTCGTTGAAGTAACTGCAAAAAATTATAAAATATGTGGGAATTTTCTCATTGCTTGAAATGAAATGAAGTGTTTTTTATCTGAGCACATTCTGACTGTGACAGGATTCACCGATGGGACAAAGTCATTTAAGTCTTATTTTCAAGAACTTCTGCTTTATTTTCTTATTCTATTTTCAATTTTTGACAAATTTTCCATCTTTTTTTGCAGTGCACCATGGGCCTTTTCCCACGTCGTGAGTTCAGTGTGTGTGTGTGTGTTTGTGTGTGTGTGTGTGTGTGTGTGTGTGTGTGTGTGTGTGTGTGTGTGTGTGTGTGTGTGTGTGTGTGTGTGTGTGTGTGTGTGTGTGTGTGTGTGTAAAAATACACAAAACAAATGAACTACATTATAATTTGATAAATCCAGTTTGAGATTAGGATTTATATTTTGAAATACACAATTGTTATATTCTATTACATTGAAATATGGTTGGTGGGTATAATAAACCCAGAAATATACAGGTAACTCCAAATATTATGAGATTAATCCCATAAGGAGTGGCAGACCCCCTTGGACTGCCACCTTAACGTGGTGGGGGAGTTTGCGTACTCGGGTGATCCTGGGAGCTATGTTGTCAGGGGCTTCATGCCCCTGGTAGGGTCTCCCATGGCAGGTCTCAGGTGACGAGTCAGATAAAGCGCAGTCCGAAGCCATCATGGACAGCACAATAAGGACAACAGTGACGTCGCCCGGTATGCCGCTGCCGGGGCCCCACCTTGGAGCCAGGCCTGGGGTCGGGGCTCGCTAGCGAGCGCCTGGTGGCCGGGCCTTAGCCCACGGGGCCCGGCCGGGCTCAGCCCGAAGGGATGACGTGGGCAGTCCCTCCTGTGGGCCCACCACCTGCAGAGGGGTCCGTGGTGGCATGGTGCAGAGAGGACTGGGCGGCACCTCGGCGACCCAGTCCGCACACCCAACATCTAGCTCTTGGGACGTGGAACCTCACCTCACTGGGGGGGAAGGAGCCCAAGCTCATGGGGGAAGTTGAGCGATACCGACTAGAGATAGTCGGCCTCACCTCCACACACAGCTTGGGCTCTGGAACCCAACTTCTTGAGAGGGGTTGGACGCTCCACTTCTCTGATGTTTCCCTGGAACGAGATCGCGGATACAAGTGGTCGAAATGAGCTTCCTCCGCAGAGTGACTGGGCGCTCCCTTAAAGATAGGGTGAGGAGCTCAGTCACACGGGAGGAGCTCGGAGTAGAGCCGCTGCTTCTCCACGTAGAGAGGAACCAGTTGAGGTGGCTCGGGCATCTGTTCCTAACGCCTCCCTGGGGAGGTGTTCCGGGCACGTCCCACCGGGAGGAGGCCCCGGGGAAGACCCAGGACACGCTGAAGGAACTATGTCTGTCAGCTGGCCTGGGAACGCCTTGGGGTCCCCCCGGACGAACTGGAGGAAGTGTGTGTGAATAGGGAAGTCTGGGCGTCTCTGCTTAGACTGCTGCCCCCGCGACCTGGCAACGGATGAAGCGGAAGAAAATGGATGGATGGATAATCCCATAAATTTGACTTTATTATCATAATCTTTCCAAATTCATCTCATAATCACGCTACTTTGACTTTATTACCATTCACTTTGATCGCTGACCTTGCTGACCATGAGTGGACCTTCCAGTGATGTTGAGAGATAATTAAAAAAATGTATGCTGGACATTGTAAGTAAAGATGGAACATCTACAAACTGTACCAGGCAACTTATCTCCTAAACCACATTTATGTTGGTTAAAGTTTAGAAGATAAATTGTCTGGTACAGTGTGTGCATTTTTATTTTACACCTGTTTTTATATCGCGAATCAAATTGTGAAGCCCAGGGGTCTGAAGATAGAGAAAAGATTCTGCTCAGTAAGAATTTCTGTAGTCATCTTTGCTACACCTGTTGTACACGATTTTGTTCAGTCATACAGAAAGTATTTATTTACTTTTATTTTGAAAGATTATGCACTTCAGTTCCCTTTTTAGGGATGATTTTTATTTTGATGCTCTTAAAATAGTACACTCTATGTTGACTGATGCCACCTTGTGATTAGCCATGTCCCACAAAAGTACACGTAACTGTTCATTAAAAAAAGGTTTTCTCGGCCAAAAAAATTTCGTTTTGAAGTTTGGACACTAAAAAGTGAACATATGAACATTTACACAATGTGCTTCTTATTCTTTGATATTTTGTTTAATTCGAGTTGATATTTACATCACTGCAAATTTGATATTTTTTCATGTAAAATAACATTTTTTGCAATGTTAATACTTTTCATGATAACAATCAAATACATTTCTTTTAACGGTAGTACCTCAACTAATTCAGTCATTTGCCGTAACAAACAAAGTTGTTACATTTAAAATAATGGTGTTAAACCAGTAGAAAATACAAATTTCCATGTTTTCAAGTTAAACATCCATCCATCCATCCATTTTCTTCCCCTTAATCCATTTCTGGGTCGGAGGGGTGGCAGTCAGAGCTGCACCCAGTACACTTTGCACCAGCCCCTCACTGATCCTCCTGCAGGTGGTGAGTCCACAGGAGCTGAGATCTTTCAGCGGGGGCTTTGGGCAAAGTGGGCTATCATTTTAATTTATAAATGTATTCATTATAGTGCTGCATGCTCTCAAATAATTTCTAACTGCACTGTAACGTGTGAACTCAGGGTAATGTGATGGCTTAGATTTGGGACCAATTGCTGAACGGGGAGGGGCGGCAATTTGATTAATCGATACACAGAAGTTTTTAGTTTGTCCATAGATCCAGTAGATGATGTGGTTCCAAGTAGTGGTGTGACTGCAGCAGGGGGTTTCATCAATTATTACATATACATAATGAATATTTTTATTTTTTCAGGTTAAAAGGTGAATGTCAAGAATTCCACACATTGGACATTTATCTATGGACAACTATGCCATTGTGACCCGAGGTACTTAAAAATAACCAATAAAATAACTAAAGTATTAATAAAACCAAAGGACACACACAGGTAAGTTTTGTAAAAGCCAGGCAGAGACAGTGCTTTTAAAATATGCAATTAAAAGTTTATTTATAACGGCTTGAGAGGGGGTAGCCCCCCAGGTTGTTAAAGTTTTCCTCTCTGTTTACATAGAGAACAGCATATTTTATGGGGCGGAAACCAGAGGCCCAAATTTTCATCATCCTCCCATCCTCTGCCGGCCGATCCCATCTCCAGCACGTCCTCCTGCTCCTCATTAGATCTGCCGGCCGACCTCATCTCCCCCACGTCCTCCTGCTCCTCATTAGATCTGCCGGCCGATCCCATCTCCCCCACGTCCTCCTGCTCCTCATTAGATCTGCCGGCCGATCCCATCTCCAGCACGTCCTCCTGCTCCTCATAGATCTCGCCGATCCCATCTCCAGCACTCCTCTGCTCTCATTAGATCTGCCGGCCGATCCCATCTCCAGCACGTCCTCCTGCTCCTCATTAGATCTGCCGGCCGACCTCATCTCCAGCACGTCCTGCATTTAACAGATTATAGTAGTAGTAGTAGTAGTAGTAGTAGTTAGTAGTAGTAGTAGTAGTAGTAGTAGTAGTAGTAGTAGTAGTAGTATTAGAATGTAAAAATGTAATACTTTAAAACTTTACCTCCAACTCCCGGATCCTGAACTCCCTCTGAATGCAGGAGGGGTGCCGGCATTCAGAGGCAAGGCTGTCCTCAAGGTCCAAAGACGAGGCCATGGGAGGTTGTGGGTCGGTATCCCGCAGCTCCGATAGCTGCTTCAATGCGGCATCTCTGCGGGCTACCTGCAGGTATGCCGCCCTTCTGCCGGGGAGCAGATCACTGTGGCGCTCTATATGGATGGCGAGTCGTCTCCGAAAGAGACCACACCCCGGGACCGGGCATGTTCCCTTTCCAATGTCAACCCTGCCAGTGCATATGGCGTTGAGTATGGTCCTCTCCCTTGCGTTTTTAATTCCATGAAACTCGCGGATGTGTTTGCTTGTATGCTTCAAGGTTTTGAGGCATATGGGGCACTGGCCCGACACTTTGGGCTTAGTCATCTAAATGAAAGGACAGAGGAACATAGTATTAGCAGTAGTAGAAGCAGGAGCAGTAGCAGTAGTAGTAGTAGTAGTGTAGTAGTAGTAGTTGGAGAGCACTTACAGCTGTGATGTTCTCAGTGCTGGCCTTGGTACTGGTACTGAGAACTAGAGGAAAAGGCAACAAAGACTCATTTTATAACTCTTCAACCCAAAACATGTGATAATAAACTCAACAACAAACAACATTAAATGGTAAAACAGGATGATCAAACAAAATACAACAATAAAAATTGTCTCTTACCAAATAAAAAGTTGAGGAGGATGTATCAGAATGACAGCAAGCTTTCAGTTAAAAAAGAAACACGGTGTGAGCTATGTGTTACTATGGTGACAGTCCCGTATGTGATTATTCAAATCACTTTTACAATAGAATCAGTTGAAATATGTGGCTGTATCCGAACGTCCACACTATATCCTATCCACACAGTCACTATATAGTGCGGGACTATACACCGTAAACCTGAGTGCTCAAATTAGTCAAAAAGAAAGATTAGTGTAAAATTAAAAATAAATAAATGTACTACTTAATTACATCATTTAATTTAGTAATTCAACTATCCAATTTTCAGTGCATGAAATTATTTATTTTAATTTCTACTAGTATAATACTTTTAATTAACCATAAATTATATTATTTTATTTACTGGACTACTGCTTTCAAATTTTGATCGAATTATTTGTTTTAATAATATGATAAAGAATGTGCTTAGGTAGATGTATAAAATCACTGAAAAAAACAGGGCTACACAAGGTCTAAACCAGTGCATCATAGATCACTTTGATAATAAAATACGTTTAACCAAATTGTAAAATGTAGAGTAGTGGCACCATTCGTTCCCAGAAGCAATTAAAAATTACTAGGGCTGTCAAACAATAAAAAAAATTGAGTTGATTAATCACATAGTAATGGTGAGTTAACGCACGATTAATCACATTTTTAACATTCTATTTCAAATCCACTCCAATTGAAGTTAAATGAGATTATCAAATGTAATGACACATTGTTATTCATACCAAATGTACTTAAATCTGTTAGACTGGCTCACAACCTTCTACTTTTGGGTACAACCAACAAAAGCTGTTAATGAAAGGGAAAATGTAGGTACCCCAGCTTTAATTTCTCCCATATTGCCAGCTGTTTCTGATGATTTTTACTGAATAAATTCAGCATTTAGTCTGTAGTAAATTTCACACCGGAGGATTTTATCACCGGATCGGCCATCAGCCGCCTTAAAAGTGGATCTGTTCCATCTCTATTCCCCTGGAATAATTTTATTGCACCACCTAAGAGGGAGTCTGCATTCCAGAAGGCTCAGAAACGACAGCTTGTCCTTTCAGAGCAAATTAGCCAGGCGATTATGCGGCATATCCACCCCCAGGTAAATATGTATTCATTCATGTACATTTTTGATTCTAGCTTATTTTTGAATTAATATTATTACTATAAGGGGCGACAGTAGCTCAGTTGGTAGAGCATTTGCCTTAAGGCCTGAAGGTTGTGGGTTCAATTCCCACCTCTACACCTTCTCCACCGACTCCCACTGATGACTGCTGTCGTTGTGTCCTTGGGCAAGACACTTAACCCCACTTTGCCCAAAGCCCCCACTGAAAGATCAAGGCTATGCTCACACTCAGAGAGCAGCTCCTCCTGTGGACTCACCACCTGCAGAGGATCAGTGAGGGGCTGGTGCTATGAGACTTGGGTGGCATCTCTGATTGTCACCCCCCTGACCCAGAAATGGATTAAAGGGTAGAAAATGGATGGAAAAATGGATGGATTATTACTATGAAACAAACTAGATAAGTGCTCAGTGTCAAAACATGTTTGGGGAACAAAATCAAAGGGTTTCAAATTAAAGCAGTGAAAATGGTGTGGGGAAGCCCTGGTTCTCCAGGGGGGCGGCCTGGATCTCCATGGGGGTTAAGGTTAGGTGTGGAGAAGCCCTGGACCTCCAGGGGGGCTATGGGCTGGTGTGGGGGCGGCTTGGATCTCCAGGGGGGTCGAGGTTAGGTGTGGGGAAGCCCTGGTTCTCCAGGGGGGCGGCCTGGATCTCCATGGGGGTTAAGGTTAGGTGTGGGGAAGGCCTGGACCTCCATGGGGGTTAAGGTTAGGTGTGGCCAAAAAAAAGAAAGGTACGACTCCAACTACTGTCGTAATAGAATTGAAATAACTGCCATCACTAATATCAAACACATGTGAAAGACATGAACATAATGTCTTTTCTTAATACATTTCAGAATGCCAGCGTCATAATCTTGATTTCTACCCAGTCAAGAAAATTATGAGGGAAAGAGTGAGGGAGGTTTGTAGTCAATATTAAAACATTAGGTGACAGTAGAGAAGATAGAGCTGGTCTTATAAACCCAACTCCTACTAGTGCACACTGTCCTTGGGCAAGACACTTCACCCACTTTTCCTTCAACAGTGTCTGTGAAATATTTTGTGTATAAAGTGAATTGAAAACTTTGAATTCTTACTGTAGGTGAAAGTGCTTAATTCATTTAGTATGTATGTGTCACATGGGTAAAAACAGGTTCTTCGGACCCGGATTTAAAAAGGACCACTGGATTAAAAGCGAATTAAAAGCAATTTATTATAAAATACATTAAAAACAAGTAAATGAAAGCAATAAAAACCTAAGCTAAAACAGGCTAAAACGGAGGCTAAAACGCAGGCTAAAACACTTTCCCACGGCCTGGGCCGCCAGACCACGGGGCTCTCCCCTCCCGTGTCTGGCTCCCGTGTCTCGTTCTCAGTCCCGGGACCGGGCCGCAGTCCCGCCAGCCGCTCGCCGACCACGGGTCGCCACCGGGCACCCGCGGGGGAGAGCCGGCACATCCCGGTCGTTGGGCCTAGCCCGGGCGCGCACGCGCCAATGCGCTATCAATGCGCGCCTCACCGGTGCCGCTCTCCCCGCTGGCCTCAGTGCCCCGTGGTCTCTGGCTGGCGGTGCTCGTCCTTGGCCCGGTCCCATGTCCTCCTCCTCTGGACCGGCTCTGCCCTCCTCTCTTCCTCTCTCTGTGTCTGTCTGTCCGTCTCCTCTCTGCCCCCCATCTCAGTCTTTTATTCTCAAGGCGCAGGTGTCTTGATTGCTCACTTGTCTTGATTGGGGAGCCGGGGTGCTTCAGGTGGTGCCAGTTAAAAATCAATATTAAAAACACACAAACACAACATGCATAAAATATGAATAAAACCATATTAAAACCCACCACCCATTTTGCACCCCCTGACATATGTTCTAAGTTTGCTTTTTTGAAAGAGCTTCATACTGTCTTCTTAGATAAACACTAGTGTTAGTAAGTCCCTAAGCAGCTGGTGATGATACTGTGGAAGATTTAAAACTAGTCAAGCAGACCATTCTGTCATTAAAAGAACCTCAGTACTAACGTTCCTTTTGGTGATGTCACAAACATACTACTCAGTGTAGTTTGTATTCATTGATGTTTGTTATAGTGAGAAGTTTATTTTAAATATTTGTCTTAATTATCTCTGTATGTCATTTAAAAGGGTCGTCAGGAGGTGTTTGTTCGATGGCAGCCTTGCGGAATTTGGTATAAGAACTTGTTCATTTAAAATGTATTTGTTTATTTTGTTTGGCTGTTCTTACTGCACCAGCTGTGCTCACTATTGTACAGAGAGGTTACTGCTGCAAATATTTAGACGTCTTCCAGTTATTTCCAGCTTGAGCAATGTTTTATTTACTGCCTTTTATCTAATTTTTAGAGGAATACTGTTAAATCATTTACAGCACACATGCACTCACAATGATCATTTAATGATAATGGAATTTTTTTACCATACTCTTTTGTAAATTATCAATTGTGTATATTAATGCAGCATAATAGGGCATGTTGGCTTAAATAAAATGATTAATTTTTTTAAGTTATTAAAACCTGTATGAAGTGTCTCATTTTTGTTTTGTTCCACAGTGGTGTTGAATGGAAGAACACCTGGGAGCCAAAGTCCAGCTTTGTCCAGTCTCAACAAATATAATTAATCTTCTTTTTTTGTTCTTCCCGGTTGGTGTGTTCTTTCTATTATTATTGAGTGAACATTATTAAAAAAGTTCTATGTTATCAGCTCCCAATCATTTCCACTGTCGATGTGTTCTTCTGCAAGACACTCTGCATGTGTGTGTGTGTGTGTGTGTGTGTGTGTTTGTGTGTGTGTGTGCGTGTGTTTGTGTGTGTGTGTGAGTGTGTGTGTGTGTGTGTGTGTGTGTGTGTGCGTGTGTTTGTGTGTGTGTGTGTGCGTGTGTGCGTGTGTTTGTGTGTGTGTGCGTGTGTGTGTGTGTGTGTGTAGCAGCTGTTTAGTTTGAGTTCAGTGTGTGTGTGTGTGTGTGTGCGTGTGTGTGCGTGTGTGTAGCAGCTGTTTAGTTTGAGTTCAGTGTGTGTGTGCAGGCGTGCGTGTGTGTTTGTGTGCGAGTTCAGTGTGTGCGTGTGTGTGTGTGCGTGTGCGTGTGTGTGTGCGTGTGTGTAGCAGCTGTTTAGTTTGAGTTCAGCGTGTGTGTTCAGGCGTGCGTGTGTGTGTGTGTGTGTATGTGTGTGCGTGCGTGCGTGCGTGTGTGTATGTGTGTGTGTGTGCGTGCGTGCGTGTGTGTGTGTGTGCGTATATGGGCCCAGGCGCCTGCAGCATGAGCACAAAAACAGGTGCCCCGGGACGCTGGGGGCCACACCTTCACCTCTGCTTCCTCAGGCCATACATTCCTCTGCTCCGGTCACACCTCCAGTTGATTGCGTTGTTTAGGGGTCATTACTAAATATAAAAGTCATCATATACTGTAAGTGACCATGTTTAACTCCAGGTTAAGGATTTTATCTCAACATTGTTGTTTTTTGTTTTCTTAATCCCTTGAGTGATAGTAATGTTTTATGGTTTCTAATACATTTAGTGATTTTAATTGTGTGTTTAATGGTGATTTAGGTGTTTTAGGATGTGATGTTTAGTAGGAAAGGCACTTTACAATTAAAGAATAATGGCTTGATATCAGCTGTACTGACTTCTTAAGAACTGCAGGACTTAGCTGAGTTCAAATCCAGGATGGTTCTGTCATGAAGTGAAGTGATGGAGGACTCAAAACGCAGAGGAATGCAACGATAAAAAATTATGTCAAGTAAGGTAAAGAAACCAAACAAATTCAGCCACAAGGGGAGAGGAGCACAGGGAACAGACTATGAACAGGGGAACAGGAAGTCAAACTGAACCAAAACCACAAAACTGAAGTCAAAATATAACCAAGCACAAAATATAAAATCCACACCATGACAAATTCAGAATTACTCATGCATTAAAACAATCCGCATGAATCTGAGTAATGCATTGACGAGAAAACCTTCGATAAAAACAAGGTAAAAAGCGCAAAGAACTTATGTGAGGACGAAACAGAAAGACAAAATATTAATGTTTTAGTTCTAGTAAAAAAAGAGAGAGAAATCTAGTTTGATTGTTAGATAGGACGCTTATGATAATGAGGACATGAGCTCTCTCTCTGCGGATGCGCCACTGAGTCTGGTCGGCATGGCAGCTCCCAGCGCCATGGCAACGACTGCTGTGTCTCCGTCATGCGCCACGTCTGTGAGAGAGACGAGACCCTCTGCCCCGCGCCATGGAGCACAGGACATTCATATGCACGGAAACTTTGTACTCCACGGACATGACATCTGACATCATATAAACTTATGTGTATTCGTACAATCATGTAATTCTGTCTCAGGGTCCTGGGTCTACAGCCTCAGTCCTGGATCTACAGCCTCAGTCCTGGATCTACAGCCTCAGTCCTGGATCTACAGCCTCAGGACATTTATGGACATCTTAAAACCAGGTTTTCTGAAGATATTCGATTGTCTCACAGAGACAGCTGCTGCTGTGATTTAAAATGCGGATTAGAATTGTTTATCTTGGTTACAGATTACCAAACTTATTGTTGGGTTTTGGTGAAGTCGTCATAAACTCATTTGTCCTTGTCTTTGTGAAAGTGGGACTTTCCGTTGAGAAAGATATAAATAGTTTCTGTCTCCACATTTTTAGGTCCAGTGCCAAAGGTCGTTCTAACCCCTCACGTTGGGAATCTAAACACTGTACTCTTCAATAATGTATGAGGCCGTTTGGGACTCACCCTGGCTTCAAGTTCAGGACTAAGAGTTTAGTGAAATGGATATGAAGAACCCTAATGAATTGGCGTCTTAAGAGCGCAGAGGTGGGAGTCGCCGTGGTTTGTGGAGGAAGAGGAAATGGTGAGATAAATAACTAATTACGCTCCTCATGTGTGTTGTGTGGGCTGCAGTCTCTGAGGGCAGCGCTGATGCAGCTGGGCCTTTGTCCCGTTCACATGCACCGGTGTTGGCTTACACTCCACTACAGAGACTACAGAGACTACAGGGACTAGAAGGACTACAGAGACCGAGCTTTTGAGGCCAGGGATCTGCTTTCTGCTGCGGTGTGGGAGGAGCCACTCGTGAACCCAGTGCTCCTGCCAACACTGCAGTACAATCATATGGACAGGTGTCTATGACAATTATAATGGAGTGATTATCTTATTGTGTCCTCAGCGAGGACTACCCAGGAAATATAAGGTTATGAGATGAAATCTCATCCCCCAGTGTCTTAGACACTGGTGGTCGAGAACCCATAAGATACTGTAGAGTGATCAGTATCAATTAAAACTGTTCAAGATCAACTTTGTGCAGAGTGAAAGAGTCCAGACTGGACTGAACAGAAAGACTCAATTCAAGACTTCATTTCCACAACACTTCATTCAGGTCTTTTTATTAAAAAAATAATACTTCTTTGACCTGGATTCTTACTTTGTCCCAAAACCTCATTATACACATGTAAACATTCAACTATACTGTATTTCTTGCACTAAAATATACAGTATTTTATCCTTGCTTCTTTATAATGCAAAAGTTGGAGATTTTATACTTGCTTCTTTATTTTTTATCCATCAGACCCAGATGGCTGGGATCTTGTGGGGGCGATTTCAGAACATGCAAAGTTTGGGTGGGGTTGTGGAAAGACCCTAACCACAACCCCCTCCCCAGCACTTAAAGGGTAACTGCCTCCTCCACTCTGATGGATGGGGCTGATGGTTTGTCTGTTAGATAGTAATAGTATAGTTGGTAACTCGAGGCGTATAAGAGCTGGAGCCAGAGGTGAACTCACAGAGGAGAAAAACACAATGTGACTTCAACAGTGATAAAATAAGCTTTATAAAATTACAAGAGATGTACTACTGCGTCAGTGTTAGCACCAAGTCTGTGCGATCTCAACTCTATCTGCTAATACCCCAGATACACTGATACCAGAGAAGCTGAGGAAAAAGACAAAAAAGTAGGCCAAGTCTGTGTTTGTGTATATTTGAAAACGTTTGTTAAAAAAATAGTTTAAAAATCCATTTGTTTGAGTAAAAGTGAAGACTGACACTCTGCTCTGGACATTCTCTTGATGAATAAACAGTGTTAGTTCTTCATCAATATCACTAAACCCAAACCTGATTCAGCAATCTTTAAAATATCAGCAGTGAAATCCAGTCCCAGTGTTGTCTCTGTGCGTCTCCAGTAAGAAGATCCTGCTTTATTTATTCATTTCATCTGTGGACTGAGATCTTTCAGCGGGGGCTTCAGGCAAAGTGGGGTTAAGTGTCTTGCCCAAGGACACAACGGCAGCAGTCATCAGCGGGAGTCGTGAAGTGGGTCTTACGGTGGGCTCGAACCCACGACCTTCAGGCCCAAAGGCTCCCAACTGAGCCACTGTTGCCCCCTAAAAATACATCAAAGAAGAAAATAAAAAAAACATATGTTGTCTTCCCTTTTTCTTAATCATTTGCATAAAGACAAAAAAATTAATGAAAAAAGTCGATATCTGTTTTATATGGAAAAGATCAGTGAGTTTACATCAAGATAACCAAAAGTGCTTTACAAAACAGGAAATTGGAACATTACAATCATACAAATGGTGTTTTCCCCTCTTCCCTTCCCCAGCCTGAGCCAATACATACTGTTTATCGTCTCTGCTCTACACCTGCTAACATTGTGCCAAAAAGCAATAATCTTCAAACAACTGCTGTGTTTTCGCCTCTGGAATGTGCTGGTCCAATTGTAGCGCATTATTTGAGCAAAGGTTATGGTCACGATTAGCTCTGGGTGAGAGAACCTCCTAAAGCCAGTGCAGATGAGAGGCAGGGCCCGTCAATGAAAGCAGGTCATGTGTAGCAGGACTCGGGCGCAAGAGTCAGTCCAATAGATCCCACACAATGAAGTCTACGGAGCCACTAAAGCTGCGGTCCCTGTGTGCACTGGCCGGGGTTCTCAGGGAGGGGCCAAACAAGAGGAAGGAAGGATACTTTAAAAGGTCTCTGAAGGGATTAGTGGGTTAATGAAGTGGGTATTGGAAAAGCAGAGACCTTTGGAGTGTTCGCTGCTGAGGCTTTGCACTATGGTAACTATGTCGGCGAGGAACCATCACAACTGCTGTGATAATGTCTAATTTACGGACGTTGAATCAATTGCAATACATTAATATATATTTCTTCTGGTTGAGTTCGACAGCAACTCCAAGAGAAAATCAAGATGTGTCAAAGTAGCCATATTCCCACAATAGCAGAGATGCACCGGATACAATGTAACGTGGGCAAATACCCGAGGCACTCTGGGAAATTCTCTGGGAAACAGCGTGAGATCAATGAAGTCTTTCTTATCTTATCTTATACATCAGTTTTCACAGCAGTATTATGTTGTTTGTCACAATATAAAGTCTTGTGTATTTTATTAAGTCCATGCCATTTTGTACATGTGTAATAATAACATAATAATGAAGCTGAAGCGCAAATTCAGACTGAGAAGACCATGCCATGCCAGACTCTCACTCCTGTCCAGGGCCAGCCAATCACACAGCTCTGCCAGCCTCTTGCCGACCCTCTGACAGCAAAGCAGCAGTTTAAAAGGCAGCCACTTCCTGATCAACAGCGTTTCCTGAAGCTCTTAACAGCCTCCTCCTCCTCTGGCTCCTGCTCTGGCTTTGGCTCCTGCTCTGGCTCCTCCTCTGGCTCCTCCTCTGGCTCCTGCTCTGGCTCCTCCTCTGGCTCCTGCTCTGGCTCCTGCTCTGGCTCCTGCTCTGGCTCCTGCTCCTCCTCTGGCTCCTGCTCTGGCTCCTGCTTTGGCTCCTGCTCTAGCTCCTCCTCTGGCTCCTCCTCTGGCTCCTGCTCTGGCTCCTGCTCTGGCTCCTGCTCTGGCTCCTGCTCCTCCTCTGGCTCCTGCTCTGGCTCGTGCTCCTCCTCTGGCTCCTGCTCTGGCTCCTGCTCTGGCTCCTCCTCTGGCTCCTCCTCTGGCTCCTCCTCTGGCTCCTCCTCTGGCTCCTGCTCTGGCTCCTCCTCTGGCTCCTGCTCTGGCTCCTCCTCTGGCTCCTCCCCTGCGGCTCCTGCTCCAGTGCTTGACTCTGGGGGATCTGAGATCATCTTTTTCATGCATTAGTGTGTCTGTCTTGGCCTCTTCAGATTGAAATGACAGATACGAGCAGGTGAACACGGCTGAAGGCAGAGTGAGAAGAAGTTTGTGGATTTGAGGATTTTCAAAGAAGCAAGAAATCCAGAGCATGTGACAGTTGTGGCTCCAAAGACGTCGGGAGCATATGTGTTCTTTTAGCCGGGGTCGATTTAATCTGAACAGTGTGACTCTACTGACAGGATATTATGATGTTGTGATGTTGGGTGGTCCTAGTAAAGTCTCTTTATATTCACTCTTTTTAATTTACTGTGATTATTTTTTATTTGAATGTGTGATTGCTTCTATCTTGTTTTGTTCAGCACTTTGTCTTGCCTTATGTGCTACACAGATAAACTTGCCTGCTTTCTTTAGTAACCCAGGCATCCCCTTCAAAGTGAAATCTGCCACAGTACGTCTCCCTATAGCATGTCAAACTGAGGCTTGGGGGCCAATCGGGGCAAGACCGTTTTAGTGGCTCCTACAGTGATTTTCATGTATTATTTTTAACGTGGCATCTATTTTCTCAAGAAAAAAAATACATTTCAATTATTCTAACATGTTAACGCAACACATCATTAGAAGTTAAAAATAAAACAATTGCTCCAGTTTTGGTTAAATTCAAACGAGAAACGAGAAAATAGTGAAACTCATGTCACATAAAAGTAATGTCAAAATAGCTTCATAATGTAAAAACAATAAAAAGAAAAGAAAATCCCTTCTTTTCATTCGGCCCCTGACCAAAATGAGTTTGACAACCCTGCCCTGTATCCTCAGTTTAGAACAACAGCTCTGTAATCAAACACTGAAGCTTCTTGATCCAGGAAACGGAAAACACGGGTCACAAGCTCTGACAAAACAGTCCAAAAACACTTAATTACGCCTTAAATTGTGAAATCTCAGGGTCGAGGTGCACTATATGGGTGCACTTGTTCAGAGGGTGTGTGTCCATGCAGAAGGGGGCGGGTCCTGTGGGGAGGCGCGCTGACACCTTTCCACGGCGGAGCGCGCAGAGTCCTGTATGGAGAGCCGTGCGTAAAAGGTGCACTGCTGGCGCTGCGTCCTGGTGCTGGACTGGACTGGACTGGACTTCCGCTGGAGCTGGAAGGTCTCTGCTCACAGGGGACACCACAGCATCAGCATGCCCCTCAAACTGCTCACCGTGCTGGCGCTCTACCACGGGACGCTCCTGTGCGGTGGATTTAACGTGGACGAGCGTTTCCCGGTGGTCAAAGAGGGATTCACCAATGGCAGCTTTTTTGGATTCTCCGTAGCTCTTCACCATCAAACCGAGGGCACAAATAAATACTTGTGAGTAGCATTTTAAAACCTATTCCCTCTTCCCTCACCAGCTGCCTGCGCGTAAAGCACCAAGTGTTGTAAAATCTCTTTTCGACTCGGGCCGTGGCACCTGTTGCATGAATAAAAACACATTCACGCACTTGTTAAACAGTTCAAGCTCTTACTTCCCCATCCTTCTGTTCTCTTCTCTTGAACCGACACCTGTTGAATGCCGTGGAGTCCATTTTTAGACTTTGCACACGCGTACAAGCCGCTGCACTGATTTGTTCTGCCTCCGGAGCGCTCTGTCGGGGCTTACCTGGTCATAACAGCGGCTGAGTGGGAATTGTTCACCCAGCTGCGAAAAATAGGCTTCAGAAGAAACTTTGTAGACTGTAAGAGCTGTGATTTAAAGCTGGGGTGCCTGATTTTTCAAACGACTAAAATAAGCGTCTATCGTATATAACAGTTTGCCTTAGTTTGGCTCAGTTTTTTTCAGACAGAAAAGAGAGAGACGGGTCCTCACTCACTCAGCCAACCATCTCTCAGCCCAAACCGTCCAATAGTGACTTACTGGTCTCTGTTCCGACAAGTATGCACATATATAACATGTTTTATTACAAGAGGAAGACGTCTGTTGTCGTCTGATTTGTTCACAATACAAAGCTGTGTGTGGCTTTTAAACCGAACTCTTAGAATAATCAATGACTCTTCTGGCCACCCTGGAAAAGCCATGTTCCAGCTTCTTCCCTCTGGCAGAATATTCGCTGAGATGCAGGACTTCTCGTTTTGCTATAACTTCAACAGAGGACTTTAATGTTCTTGCACTTGTTCTGGAACAAGTGCAAGAACAGTATGATGTATTCCAATGTGGTTTTACTGCAAAAGGCAAATACAATTCATCTTTTTCTGAATCTTGTTGTAATGGAGGAGAGGCTATTTATGGCTTGACTCTTTTACTGATATGTTACTATGCTATGTTTTTTTGATCATTACAAAATCGGCAATTCTAGTCTTTCTATCACTGCTTGAATGTGCGGATATTACTAACACAATTCTCCGTCATGAGTTTGATGTATTCAGGCCATTGTCATCCATAGTTTGTGCAGCTCATTCATTCATCCAGCGCTGCCTCCTTAATGAGAGATCCCAAAGTGTATCATTGTTTAGTGTAGGATTTCCCTCTAGTCAATTACAGAGCCCCCCTGTCCTTCCGCCCGCATGATCACACACTGTGTACAAAATGCGCTCTTATCTCTCCCCCCTTCCTCGCTTTGAAGAGGGGGAAAAACTGTAAACCGGCCCAAGTCTCTCCAGCCACTGCATGGGATAGTGGTGTCCAGATGACGGGAGATCAATGGCTCATATTATCTGGTCCCGTGAGGGCTGGTGTCTGCTGGTGTCCGCTGTCCCCCCATGCAACTCAAGACAGGGCCTGGCTTGGATATTAAGGTCCCGTGGTCCCAGGCGTTTTTTTCTGTATGATTTCTTTGGGCTTATGTGGGATTGGAGAGATTGTGAGACTCATAACTCGGGCTGACGAGAGCTGAGAGACGAGACGGAGCATTGATTTGCTTGTAGTGACTTGCCGGAGTCAATTAAAAGAAGGCAAAGGAGTCAGAGAGCTGCTATGTCGGCTGTGCTGTGAGGGATTTGGAGAAGCTTCATGGAGCACTGGAAAGTCCTGGTCATGTGACGGTTATTGAGATCCTGGTAAATGTTGGAATAGAAAGATACTGCTTATGAAATGGTAATAGAGTAAAGTTACTCATTCATAGCTGTAATGGTTCCCAGTGAAGCGCCATTATAGTTAAAAACAATAAACATGCTGCAAAAAGCAATGGTTATTCATTTTTCTCACTGATCCATTGTTGTTATGATCTAATCCACTTTATTTGTGAAGCACATTTTATAAAACATGTTTCCAAAGTGCTGCACAGATAGAAGTCACACATTTAAATATACAGGTTTCCCAGCTTTATATGTTTAAACACATAGAAAAAGTAAAGAGTTGTGTACGAATTATGTACGTTATGATGTTTTTAGGCCCCTCCCACTTGATTTCATGGAACTGTGTCATATTCTATAGAGATAGGAGGATATTTAAAAAAAAAAAATTGGACGAGGAGAGAAAATAGATCTTTCAAAATCAATGGGATTTTTGTGGTTAAATGAAAAAAGTAAAGAAGTTCAATAGATGAAAGAGGGTAATGTGTCCCAGTCCTGTCACCGGTCAGTAATAATAGCAGAAGAAAAAGACTGATGCCCTCAGCACAGAGCAAGTGAGGAGCAGGAGGTGTTGGGTCAGAGAGAGTTTGGGCCTGTGTCTCGTTTGTGTGTGTGTGTGTTTTCTTGCCGATACCAAAAACCGATACGAGTACTGCATTGTGTTATCTTTGGGAATTCATAGAACCTTTCAATTAATTTCTGTTCAATTTAATATATTTTTGTAACGCTTTTAGTTATTTCGGAGGACTTTACAAAGTTGTCGATCCGCCAACACAGATCAGAGAATCAAACAGTTCAAACACAGGAAATGCGACGGGGAAAAAACCCACATAGAGTCATGATTGGTCCAAAAGGGGCGGAGACCAATGTCCATAAATCAACTGAATTTTGTTTATAGTTTTTGTATTGTCTTTTGTAATTATGTTTTTGTAAGTAAAAAAGAAAAACTCCCACTACATTCATCATATTTGGCTCAGTTGGTAGAGAATAGGACCTTCTTCTTCTTCTTTCTCTTCTTTGTCGTCTTCTTCTTCTTCATATTTAGATAGTTCCATCACCTTAACACACGGAAGCATCACTGCCTGTCCTGAAAGAACCCTCACACATCTTTCTTTACCCGTCGTTCCAAAGTCTTCTGTATATTTGTTGTCCTTTGGTAGCTGTCTCCTAAATACCAGACCAGTCGTGGTGTTTGCTCAGTGCCTCCTCCAGCTCCACCAGAACCTCCCTGTGTCCTGAAGTTACAGTAGAAGAATGCGCCGCTGATGCCGTCTCCGTGTTTGCTCGGTGGCCTTTTTTACAGTCCCAGCCGTCTGTCTCTATTGTGGCCCAGCGTTTATTCTCCCGGAGCCACAAAAGTCTCTGGGTTATTGTGCCGTGAATATTTGAGAAATGCCTGCACTGAGCCGGTCGTGACATGTTTAAAGTGGTCACTCTCCTTGGTACATGTTCATGACTCAGGCTGACTTTTCCGTTCCCGGCAATAAAAGAGAAACTCAATAAAGCGTTTTCTCAGAAGATTAAGATTATTATCCAATTATATCTAAAGCTGCAAACTGGAGTAAGCTATAAGAGTGTTGTCGTCACGGAAACAACTGCAATCCTAATCCCCGACTGCAGTGGTTCTCAATCTCTGCATTACATTTGATACATGGGGGGCCACAGGAGGAAGGGCTGGGGAGAGGTGTTTGGTCAGAGAGCGTTTGGGCCTGTGTCTTGCCTGAGTGTGTTTTGTGTTGAGACAAATTCAAACTCCTTTTCAAACTGTGAAGCTGCTTATGTTTGTATTTTTGTTTTTGGGTGTTTGAAATAAATATGGACTACTATATATGATATATTGTATTTATTTTATGACTTGGACCGTACGCACGCTCTGATTGGCTGATTACCGGTCTGATATTTTCCCATCTCGGACTGTTACCATGACAATCTGTCCGCAGCGCGTATCACACAAAACCAAGTTGGACATGAACATACTTCAATAAATATCTCAAAAGGTAAAGACACAGACGAGAGTCATATAATAAAACATTTATTAACCTTGCTTGGTCTGTACATTAAGGCCGCTGTCTGATATTTTTCCATACAGACCTCGCGCTCGGTTAATAAGCCGTCAGTATGAAACTCTGAAAATGATTATGTAATTTGAAAGTTACAGTAATTTAGATTCAGATTCATGTGTCTTTGTTAGCAAATTAATTACAAAACATCCATCCATTTTCTTCCCTTGGGGGGCGGCAATCAGCTGCGACAGTTTTGAGCTCAAAACATTTATTAATTCAGTCCATTTGTGACATATTCTAAGTTTCTGAGGTGTTTTATTAGTTTTTTCAGTGGTGAGAAAGTGACCAACACTTTATGAAATACAGGCTGGATGTGTCTCACTTAGCCTGTAATGAGTCTGTCATACACTATTTTCAGTTTGTGAGTGGTCAGCACTTCTGTTTCTACAGTAAGACGGTTCCGTGAAGTGAAATTTGCATGTTCTTCCTGTGTCTGCGGAGGCTTCCTCAGAGTGTGCTGTTTTCATGTACGTACATCAGAGCATGAACTTGTGGAGATTGGCCCCTGTGCTACACTGACCACTGCTCCTGACTGAGGCCCTGTAGAGTTGGAAGGACGGGTCAAATGCAGACGACACATTTCTACAGAGACTATAAAGGGCGACAGTAGCTCAGTTTGTAGAGCATTGGCCTTTGAGCCAGAAGGTCGTGGGTTCCAGCCCGACCTTCACCATCGACTCCCACTGTCTGCTGTCGTTGTGTCCTTGGGCAAGACACTTCACCCACATTGCCTAGAATGAGTCTGTGTGTGTGAATGGTTGGTGGTGGTTGGAGGGGCCGATGGCACAGACTGGTTGCCTCGCTTCTGCAGTGTGCCCCAGGGCAGCTGTGGCTACAGTAGTAGTTTATCACCACCGTGTTTGGAGTGAATGAATAATGACATGTAAAGCGTTTTTGAGTGTCCAAAAAAGCGCTGTATAAAACCTGTGCATTGTTATTATTATTAAAGTAGAACTAAACTTTTCATTTGTTAAATTACAGAAGTAAATGGACTTCTGTAATTCAAACACTTTACATTTAGAATGACATTCTAATCTTCCAAGTTTCACCTGTACTTCTATACTATACTCTACAATACTCTACTATAACATACTATACTGTACTGTACTGTACTATATACTGAGATGAACACATATTTAGTGGCTCCCTGACTGAAAGCTGGGCCCTCTCTGTCCCACACTCTTTATAACTGAGGCCTCTGTTCGGGCTCTTTACCTCTCCATTTACAATGAGCATTCAGAGC